TTGAGAAATATTATCAGCTTAAGATATTTGAAATCACATTACATGACTATAAACACACTTGAGCATTACAGGGACACTGACATTTCCTAAAGGGATACTGATATTGATACTGAGACAAAGACATCTCCATAAACTAGCATAAAAACACCATAACTAGCTATAAAGTATTAGAATTATGTGAACTGGTATAGAATAATGATGTGCCACTAACTAGAGCGCTTTTTTCTCCTAGTTTTTCTGTCAATGAACAAAGGCAGACCGTTTTCTTAGTGGGCTGTCACTTGTTGCAGCCAAACAACAGTCCTGTGAGTGAAACGCTAGCTAGTAAAGTTACAACACAGCAAACAGGACACGGTGCACATAGTAACGTTTACTCCTTACACATGCACGCTACACAGCGAGGTTAGGACACGAGGAAACTTTAAAGTACATAAAGCGAGAGCCGACCGTTAGACCAGGGGAGACTCAAATACGCTGCTCAAGTTGAGCTGTTGCTTGAAACTATCATTACCGTTAGGTGTCCAGCAACACCCACCGCATCCTGTAATGTTTACTCAAAACACGTTTCATTAAAAAGCAAGACAACATTTTCAAACGTACCCTTAAAGAAGCGAGGTCTATGCTGTCCAAACTTCGAGTGGTATTTTCTCTCGACATTGCTGTCAGCGACTTTTGTCAGCGAGCTGGTATTTGTGTACAAGACATGGACGGTCTCTCCCCGACAAAACTAACTAACGGGTTTTCTTGTGGTCGGGTTCATTCTGAAGTTTAGCTGGCAGCGACAAAGCTAGTCAGCGTCAAACATACCATTTCCGGACACACCTTTCAAAATAATTGCCTTCAGCGGACCTGTAAACTCTTGTAGAATGTACGTTTTAAGTTCTGCATTGATGAAACAGAAATGATCCGAATATATAGTAGAAAGTCATACATTTTATCAGACCATGTTTAACTTCTGTAAATGTGATTCATAAAAATCAAAATCCACGTGTGTTTGGAGTTGTTTGCGTTTGGCTTTTTGACCTTTACTGCTCTTTTCACCACATACATAACAGACACTAGTGCTTTGTTGTTGTTGTTGTTATTTTTACTCTGCCTCAGGCCTAAACCTTACACTGACGTTGCAATGCTTAATTGTGAAAACGTCCGGTCTCTGACTGCATTAACCTCGTTTCACTTGACGTTTTGCTCCTGGGAAGGGATTCTTTTTTCTTAAAGCGACTCGGATAACTCAACCAGTCCACACACAACGACAGAAAGAACAACAAGGCATTAACAACTGTATAATAATTGCTTATACGGTACATATGCCGCTGACTGAAAATAATAAACGTTACCTTACAAAATCTCTCCACGTGTATCTCCGTGTGTCCGTGTTCATGCGCGCGAGTGTTTGTTTTTGTGGGGAAAAGTTCACAGGCCTCGAGTTATTCTCAGAGAATGCCACAATCATCAATATTCACTTTGCAAATACCTTTTGGAAGTGACTGTTAAGTTAAAAAAATTAGGTTAATAAATTATTATACAGTACTAAAGCTAACTGAAAGAAAAAGTACTCTCATACACACATGCACTATCTGTACACAGACTGTGACAACACATTGACATTCAACCCTTTCTTGACGTTTTACAGGTGCTTGTCTCATTCCAGTATCACCTTATAATGTTTCAGGCCCACGTGCATTTTTACTGCATACCCTTTTCATCTTGATTAGATTCAGCTGCTAATTTTTCTGTTGAACCTTTTCAACATAACATCTTGGAAACATCTGGTTAACCCAGTAAATACAGTTTCGAGCTGTAGCCTCTTTGAGCTCTTTGCAACATATATTTTGATCTGATAGAACTGGATAGAACAGTGCTAGCCTCATTGACAACATTAATGATTGCTGGATTCCATTTATTTAACCCACCCATACTCTAAGAAGTGGACGTTATCATCGTGACGTCACCCATTGATTTATGAAGTCCTGAGTCCTCGAGTTGTCATGTTGTTTTTTTCGCAACCGATGAACGGAGGTTACCATATATGGAATGCGGAGGAGTGACGTAGAGATGCCGAATACGGCTCTGGTAGCTGCAGCAACCTGTCAATCACAGTAAGCCCGCCCTAAAGCATACTCCTCTTTATGCTCTATTTGACTCTAAATGGACCATAATTTCCTCAATGAACATCATGCTGTATTGAAAAATACTTGAAACTAGAGATTGAGACCATAAACTAATGTTTACAATGTTTACTGAGGGAATAAATCAAGTGAGAATTAGAGTCATTTTCTCATAGACTTCCATACAATCAGACTTCTTTTTGCAAACAGAGGAGTCGCCCCCTGCTGGTCAGTAGAATGACAGTTTTGAGACACTTCCGCATCGGCTTCCTCGACACAACCGGAGGCTGCCCCCTGATCTTGACCTTAATGCAGATCAGAATCACTGCTGCAAGTCCCCATCAATAAAACTGTTTCATTCATCCGTATCAGGAGGTCTCTCCTTGTTTGAGCATCAATGAATGTGAGTCATCGGATAAAATTCATGATTTTTTTTCAAGCTTTCGCATCGGCTTCACTTGGCAGAACCGGAGGTTACCGCCCCGTTGTCACCTCCAGGCTCATAGTAGGCCTATTGAACATGCTGGATCTTTAACGTCATTATTACACCTGTGCTTTTGCTACTGTGGAAAAGGTTTATCATGTAAAATCTAGCTCTGAATCCAACTGTAACCCCAGTAAAATAACGGAAATCAGAGAACGTGACAAGACAGCGAAACATCTTTCCATGTAGCAAATGTGTGATTTATTCTGTGCTAAATGACAAAACCTGGCCCAAAATGTCCTGATGCAGGCATATTTAAGTTTAAAGTTTAATGACAGTGTGTAGGCCTCACATGTGAGTTAAGATACAAGATGGCATGGTTTCCCAGTAAGTAACCCACACCATATGTGTTACATTTGAGCAACTTTACTCGGTGGCTTCTTACCCCAACAACCGTCACGAATAAAATGTTTTTGCGTGACCAATGTGTTAAAAGTATGAACTGACCCATTGCTCACACCATATGTGTTACATTTGACACCTGATGTAACATTAGTTAACGTTAGCTAAATAAGTAACATTAGCTAAATAAGCTAATGAACCTGCCCTGCCAATTCAAGTAAAATGAACACAACCTCCATGACTTACACATTTATTTTTTATCCATAACTAAATTACTTAAACATTGGTATACTGGGTGACAAGAAGAACATAGGTTCTGCAATTTGGTCTTGAGAGGGGGACTTTGCAGTAGTATTAGCTAGCTAATGTCACCGTTAGCTGTTTTGTGTTGTGTAACTTAAGGACATCTAAGTTATCTAGTAGCCTATGTAACCCTAAACGTAACCCAAACACACCATCATTTAATACCAACCTCGACGGATGTGTGCTCTTTTTTTTTCCTGCCAAAAATTGTGATGAAAGTTAGTTAAAAAAAACATAATTTAATGTGAGAAAACAATGTTTCATATTAGCAATATACCTGTTTCTTAATTAAACTTACTTTATATGTCTCTCTCACTTTAAATGCATCCTGTAAGGTCACACATTTCACTGCAAAAACATGCTACTAGACAAATATAAATGTCACTTTCACCTCGCATTGTAACACTTCTGCCCACACAATAGCTCTTCTTTTTTTTAGCTTTACCTATGTATTTATGTTCTCAAGTGTAACATATATAAAAGAGATGGAGCTTGACATTCCGGTCTCCTGACCGAGCCAGTGTGTCACAGTCAGCATGGTGAAATGAGGGTCATTATGTGGTAGGACACAGCCACTGTGTGTGTGTGTGTGTGTGTGTGTGTGTGTGTGTGTGTGAGAGAGTGAGTGAGTGAATGCGGGAGAATGAGAGAACGATAGCAAGTGACTCTCTTGCACCCTCTGCATGTTTGTTTGTGTGTGTAAGTGAATGTGACGAATTAAGAGTGAGGGAGCTGGGGGGGGGGGGGGGGGGGGGGGGGGGGGGGGGGGGGGGGGGGGGGGCTGTGAGCGTGTAGTGTGTGTGAGAGAGTGTGTTTGTGTCGCAGTGAAGAATGGTCTCTCTGTGGTCTCACACAGTGGCCCTGTTCACATCAGGGTCAGCTGCCTACACACACACACACACACACACACACACTCATTTTCGGACCCGTATCCAACCTAAACAAGACAACATTCTGAGAAACAATTGAATAAGGAAATTCCAAAATGATAGAGGCTACTTGTCTGTTTTTTTCTTTCTGGGTACTTGCAAACATACGAGGTATTCCGAGGAAGTTGACGTTTCACTTATCTCAAGCATTTCCTGAGGGCGCTCGCATATTCATGCACGCACACACACACACACATACATGCAGGAATAAACATGTATAGGTGACAGCAGTGCCAGATAGTGTCAGTTGCTCAGAATCAAAGAGATGGGGGTTTCTTATTTTGCTAGGCGAGGCAACCTTCACTTTATTCTTCAGTCTGTATAGTCTGTGTAACTTATAGAATAGTTAATTTAAAAATAATGTCAAACAAAAAACAGTAAATGTCATATTCAAGGCATTAAAAGGCATTAAGAAGACCAGTTCACAGTAAGCATGCAACAAGAACACATGCAATCAATAGGTGGCAGTCCTCCCTGAAAGACGACAGCAAAAAGAAAAGTTACATAAAAACCAAAGGTCTGAGAGACCGAAGAGAACTCAGATCATCAGGAACACAATTACTAAAAGGGCAGCTTGATCCGGGATGCCAAGGTGGATCCAGGTCTCTGTTAGGATGGGGGACAAGTGTCTCAGATGTGAGAAGTGTCTCCTGTTGCTGGGTTTGCCTAAAGTCTTATTTCATCCATCTTATTTTCCTGTGGCCCCAAACATCAACCAGGAGTAAGCTGGGTAGTTGATTAGCCTTAGGTCCTAGCTGCGTTAGCTTAGCTTCTATTTCAGCACTCCTTCCTGGGGCGATCACTCCGCCCTCGTGGCTTTTGGTTAGGCAGGTCTCAGCTGGTCGGTCGGATGACGCCGTGAACGGTGATGGCCTCAAGATCCACCGCACTTAATCCATTCACCGCGCTTCCTTCTCCGAAGCTGATGAGAGTTTTCTGTCACATAGGCCATGTGTGCTCCAGTAATAGGTGACAAGACAAATTAAAACAAAAATGTTGCGAAGTCCACGGGAGCTGCCGGTTGCCGCATCTTCAAGGATTCAAGGTTCAAGGATTCTTTATTGTAATTATGCAACACAGGGATGCACAACGAAATGCAGTTGTAGACCATGTGTCATGTTTTTACACGATTAAAACAACAAAACAAAAACAGTAGTGCATTCTTTTAAAATTTAGATCAGGAGGAATGTAAGCAGCTGCAACAAAAACATGTTCTCGGCAATATGGCCAAAATCTTCACATTCAAAATGTGACATCGGGTAAACATTGTCCCTCAACATTGACTGTGTTTGAGCACCAAGCATCATTGATGTAAACACAGAGTCCGCCACCTCTTGTCCCACCGGAGTTCTGCGCTCAGTCCTGCGGTCCTCCTGTCAAATGCAGCTTAATCTGGAGCCAGGTTTCTGTAAAGATGTGGGCACAACAGTCACCCGTGCCTGTGTTAGCCTGAATTGTTCTGCTACTGGATATTAGCCACCAGCAGATTTGGCAGTGGAGTAGCCTTAATAATAATAATAATAATAATACATTTTATTTCTATAGCGCTTAAAAGGCACTCAAAGACACTTTACATGTTAAAAACAGAAACAATAGAATCATTTATAATAAGAACAAAATATACGACATAACAGTAAGAAAAAAAATAAAAATAAAATAAACATGAAAAGAAAGAAACAAAACATACATTACTGACTTTAGAGGTTAAAAGCAGATTTGAATAGGTGAGTTTTAGGTGCAGTTTTGAAAGTGGCGAGTGACGAAGAATGTCTGAGGTGTTGGGGCAGGGAGTTCCAGAGGGAGGGGGCAGCAACGGAGAAGGCCCTGTCCCCCCAGGTCCAATGCTTGGACAGAGTAGGGGGGGTAAGGAGATTGGCGTCGGCAGATCTGAGGTTGCGGTTGGGAGTGTGATGGTACAGGAGGTCCGAAAGGTATGAAGGGGCAAGGTTGTGGAGGGCTTTGTAAGTGATGAGGAGGATCTTGAACTGGATTCTTTGCTGTATGGGGAGCCAGTGGAGGTTTTGAAGGACTGGGGTGATGTGGTCTCTGGTGCGGGAGTGGGAGAGCAGACGGGCAGCTGAGTTCTGGATGTATTGTAGTTTATTGATGATTTTGGTGGGTGAGCCGTACAGGATGCTGTTGCAGTAGTCCAGTCGAGAGGTGATGAAGGCGTGGATGAGTGTTTCAGCGGCTGCGGAGGAGAGGGAGGGATGGAGACGGGCGATGTTTTTTAGATGAAAGAAGGCGGTTTTTGTGATGTGATTGACGTGGCGTTCATATGAGAGAGTTTGATCGAAAATGATCCCGAGGTTACAGACATGTGTGGAGGCAGGAACAGTGATGCCATCGATGCAGAGGGAGAAGTTGTGGTGGGAATTGTTTAATGATTTGGGGCCGATGATGAGGACTTCAGATTTGTCGGTGTTGAATTTGAGGAAGTTTGCTTGCATCCAGGTTTTTATATCTGGGAGGCAGTTGGTGATAGTGGAGTGGATGGTGGGGGTGATAGATTTGGTGGAGATGTAGAGCTGGGTGTCGTCAGCATAGCAGTGGTACTGGAGACCATGGTGGCGTATGATGTCACCAAGGGGGAGCAGGTAGAGGATGCAGAGGAGGGGACCGAGTATTGAACCTTGGGGGACACCTTGAGAGACTGGGGCTGTGTCAGACTTGAATTTGTTGATGCTGATGAACTGTTCACGGTCGGAGAGGTATGATTTAAACCAGGAGAGGGCTGTGCCATTGATGTGGAGGGAGGACTCGAGACGCGAAAGGAGGATGGAGTGGTTGATGGTGTCGAAGGCTGCGCTGAGGTCGAGCAGTATCAGGATGTTGAGGGAGTATTCATCAGAGGAGAGGAGGAGGTCGTTGGTGACTTTGATGAGGGCAGTTTCTGTGCTGTGATGAGATCTGAATCCGGATTGAAATGGCTCATACAGTTGGTTTCAGTCCAGGTGAGTTTTCAGTTGATGGGCAACAGTGCGTTCCAGTATTTTAGACAGAAAAGGGAGATTGGAGATGGGTCTGTAATTGTTGTGAATGTCGGGGTCAAGGCCAGGTTTTTTGAGGATGGGTGTGACTGAGGCGAGTTTGAGGGCGGGAGGGACGGAGCCAGTAGACAGGGAGGAGTTGATGACAGAGAGGAGGTGCGGGCGGAGGGCCGGGAGACAGGCCATAACTAAAGTGGAAGGGATAGGGTCGAGGTCACAGGTCGGAGTCTTCATGCCAGAGAGTGATTTATTGAGATCCGAGGGGGAGATGAGAGAGAATCGGAAGAGTGACCGGTCAGTTAGTGGAGGATTTGCAGATACAGGGTTGGACAAAGCAGGGCTGGAAGTGGCCAGTTGGTTGTAGATGGTGTCGATTTTAGCTTTGTAGAACGTCAGAAGGAGTTGCATTTCTCTGCTGTGGAGGAGTGGGAGAGATTGTCCATAGGTTTGAGGAGTTTGTTTATTGTGGAGAAGAGGACCTTGGGGTTGGTGGAACCAGAGCGGATGATGCCAGAGTAGTAGGTGGAGCGAGCAGAGTTTAGAGCCAGTTTGTATTGCTGTATGTGTTCCTTGTACGCCAGGGTGTGAACTGTGAGGCCGGTTTTTTTGGAGAGTCGCTCTAGTCCGCGTTTCCGGGATTTCATGAGGCGGAGTTCAGGGGTGAACCAGGGAGCAGTGTGGGTGAATGAGACAGTTCTGGTTTTGAGAGGGGCAAGCTGATCAAGGCAGGAGGATAGTGTGTTATTGTAGAGGTTGACCAGGTCTGAGGGGGAGGGGGAGAGTGTGGAGAATTTTTCAGTGAGACAGGCTGACAGGGATGAGGGGCAGACAGACTTGATATTTCGGAGAGTGATGGTGCGCGTGAGTTTGGGTTCTGGGATTGGGATGTCGATCTCCATGATGATGGCTAGATGGTCGGAGATGGTGAGGTCATAGCCGGAGAGGTGGTTGATGGTGAGTTCAGTGGAGCAGACCAGGTCCAGGATGTGCCCGCGGTTGTGGGTGGGGAAGTCGATGTGTTGAGTGAAGTTGAAGCATTTAAGCAGGTCCAGAAATTCAGTGGCAGTGTTACAGGCTGAGGAGTCGATGTGGATGTTGAAATCACCAAGCAACAGGATGGAAGGTGAGATGGAGCAGAGCTGGGTGAGGAATTCTGATAGGTCAGAGAGGAAGGCAGAGTTGGGTTTGGGGGGGCGGTAGATAATTGCAATGACCAGGGGTTTAGGACCAGAGAGTTTGAATGTGAGCTGTTCAAATGAGGGTGGACTGTCGATGTTAGTCAGTCTGGTCTTGATATGTTGGCGGTGAAGAGCGGCAATTCCTCCACCGCGGCCATCAGGGCGTGGTTTATCCAGGTAATGATATCCAGTTGGGGTGGTTTGATTGAGTGCGTAGTAATCCGGGTGTTTTTGCCAAGTTTCAGTGAGACAGAGGATATCAAGGTTGTTGTCAGTGATGACTTCATTGATGATTGGGCCTTTGTTGCTTAGTGACCGAGTGTTGAACAGAGCAAGCTTCATGGAGTGTTTGTGGTTGGTTGTGAGGTTTTGGGGAGGGTTCTGAGGTTGGCTGCATTCACGTGCTGTTTGTTATGATGACGTAATGAGGGAGTGGTGGTATGCCGATGCTGAGTCCACAGAGACGGGATGGAATTGACAGAAGTGGGGTTGTAGATGATGAACTTGTGCTGGGAGCTGATATGAACATCACTGGGAGGGATGTAGCTGAGGTTGTTTTTGTTTATGGCTTTGTAAATGCAGTGTGAACGGGGCAGCATCTCTGTCAAAATAGTCTGAATGGGGACAGCTGCAGCTGAAGGGGTTGATGACAGGGAAGGCCAGGAGGGGGAGCAGTCACGGGAAACTGTGCTCAGAGGTGGCAGCGTAGAAGAAGAAGGAGCGTGTGTGTGTGTGTGTGGAAAGTAAATAGTCAGTCATGTGGACAAGAGTGTACAGCATGCTGTAAATTAGCCGCTAGCAGGCGGCTAATTAACCCAGCTTGTTAAAATGAATACCATCGTTCTTAAAAGAGGAAGAGCGGTCCCAAAACAGGTTACAATTGTCAATGAAGCTCACGTTGTTGGTCCTGCAGGCGGCCTGGAGCCAAGTGTGGAGGCTGAGGACTCTGCTGAACCGCTGTGATCCACGGCCGAGTGTTGGAGTTGGACCACTGATAAAAGCAGACAGTCCACAGCTGTTTAAAAAGTATAGAAGATTTTTAAAATCAATCTTGGTCAACTCAGACTGGTGGAGGGCTGTATCGTTGATTCCCACATGAACAATAATTCGCCGAATGGTAGACGGGAGGGCGTGCAGCAGGCCAGGCAGTTTCAGCAGGATGTCGTGAGCCGTTGCTCCGGGGAAACAGTGTGTGGTCGCGTTGAAGAAACGGGTATTCCTGATTATTGAGTCCCCGACTATCAGTGTCGTCGGGGCGAAGAGGGGACGAGGCGACAACACTGCGCGTGCAATACGCGTGGGTGGAGGAGAGGATTTAACCAGTGGTGGCGGAGTGGACGAGCAAGGACTGAGAGAACGGGGGACCGAAGCTCGCCGCGGTGCTGGTGTAAAGCACGGTATGGAGCGGCGAGTCCTGGGGCGAGAGGAGAGCTCAGGAATGACTGGTGTAGGGATGTCGGGGGAGCCGGGGCTGTGGGTCCCTCGAGGCGGCAGCTGGGATGGTATAGGAAGCTGGGAGTCCCTAGCCAGAGGAGGGAAGTCGTGAAGGGCAAGGATGTCATATTTATTCTTCAGCTGGACATCGAAGTTATGGGGTGTAGGAGAGGGATGTCTCCCTATCCGGCTGCTGCGAGCACAGACCAGGGACCAGGGCTCGTGATGTGATGGAGTGGAGCTGACCAGGGCTTTAGGCTTAGCTCCGAGCCGTAGCCAAGAAGCCTCAGGAGCTGTGACCGGAGGAGGGGCCGCGGCAGCAGGACTGGAAGCGATGGAATCATGCACACGGTCGCTGGCTGTGTCGGTTTGTGCTGGACCGAAGATGATGGTATCCATGAGGTTCTCGGCATACTGGATCCTGTAGAGCGTGGATATTCTTCCTTCCAGCTCTGTGATTTTATCAACCAGGCGGGCGCAGCTGACACAGTCAGATGAAGAGGTGAGTGAAGCCATAGCAGATCTGGTGGACAATTGTGCTCCAGCCCGTAGTCCACAGCCTTGTCCAGGTATTAGCAAAGGTGGAAGCTGATTCACAGATGGTTCCGTTTTCAGTTTGACGTGTGTAGACACTCTATATCTGTGGTCTCCGTAGCGTTAGCTAACTTCAGAGCCCAGGGCTAACAAACGAGCCAGTAGTAGCCCAGCAGGCTAAGCGGTCTGGGGAACGCAAAAAACTGAGAAGTCTAGTAGGTGTTGGCTGACATCGTACTTCTAGTTCAATTCACACAGAATTGAACTAGAATCCTAGCTGGGTTAATTTAGCTTCCATCTCGACTCTCCTCCCTCTCAACTCCGCCTTTAGTGGCGTTTGGTCTGCCAGGTCTGGCTGGGTGGTCGGCCTTGGGCGGTGATGGTCTCGAGGACCGCTCCCACAAATGAATCCGATCCCCACGCTTCCTTCTTCGATGTTGATGAGTATATCTGTCATATGCCATAAGCGCTCCAGAAATAGAAACCAAACATGTTCAAATTTAGGAAATAAATGTAACTAAATTCATGTGAGCTACTGGCAGCAGCATGTACATGCGGTGCTGTTCCTATAGGTATCTGCATGCGCCACTGTTACATTGTGTCATTTATGCTAAGTAGGTTAAAAAAAGAAATAATTACATTTGTGTAACATGGAATGAAAATTCAAAGAAAATTAAAGCTGCGAGCAGCATTGATCGGGCCCTCGCAACTTCACGCACGTCGAGGGTACTAGCAGGACTCTGGCCATGCATTTCTGTGACCGTCATACACTGCGTGCACGAGTTAAACGGTATTTCCTGGTACTGGCAGGACTCTGGGTGACGCGGCTATGAATTTCTGTGACCATCACACTCTGCGTGCACGAGTGAGATATTTCCTGCTTAAACCAGCAGCGTAGCAAGATCATGTTGCCAGGTCTTGATCCTCAAATGTTTTGAGTGTACATCCGATACAATCATAAATGTAAGCCTTTAAAGATCATTAAGAAAATGAATGTGTGTGAATGTGCTTCAGTGTTTGTAACATAACAGACTGTCAGTTTACTGGGATGGGGTTCAACTTCCTGCAGTGTCCTGCTGATTGTATTTGGACTTACATGAATGTTAACAAAACAGTAGTGCTGTTTGCTGTTACTTGAACACTTTAATTTAACACTGTTTTGATGTTAAGTTCTTCTGTAACTTTAGATTGTAGTGTGAAGCATTCATTGTAACGTTTAACCTGATTTGTCATGAAGAAGCTCTGGACAGATCATTTATACTAATGCCCACCGACATGGTTTGAAAATCCACTGTTATCTAACTTTTGCTCTCCAAGCATCTTAGTTTGCACATATTTAGATCAGAGAAGTCTTTTTCTCATGGTGTGCCCACAAACCCTTTCAATAAATTCAGTGTTTGGGCCGCTGTAATTATAGAATCCTGCTTACGTCCGTGCTTATCAGTAGGTGGCGCTTTGACAATGAGGTAATATTGGCATGCAGAAGTCCTAAAGCCATGACAGTCAACAAGCATGTCAAGTTTGGGACAGTTTTGACAAAGTACAGTCGAGTTACAACAGCTTGATGGATGATGGCGAACCATATAAAATGACCATCACACCATATCCACGTCATTGGATGAAACCTAAAGCTTTTAGTAACTTTTAATCGCTAAGGTCTTTAGATTGTTCTGACCAAATTCTAAGCTGATCGGATTAATTCCCTAGGAGTTCGTAGTACAGCACCTGGAAATGGGGAAAAAAACACGAGAAATTCATAATAAATTTCAAAATGGCTGACTTCCGGTTGGGTTTAGAGCATGGTCCCAAGATACTTTATTTTAAGTCCACATGTGATACATGTGCCTACCAAATTTTGTAAATCTATGTGAAACATACAGCGAGGGCTGCTTCGTCGAAATTTAGTAGGGGGCGCTATTGAGCCGATTTGCCACTCTAAACCAATAAAATCATATTATATAACTACATTTTGGGCTTTAAATGTGTATGCCAAGTTTGCTTATGTTTCGAGCATTTCTAGCCTCTCAAAAACACCTTAATTTTTCATGGTTAAGAATGCGTCGCCACGGCAACAGCTTTTCACGAAACAACAAGCTTTGAGTAACTTTTCATCACAAAGGTCTTTAGACTGTACCGACCAAATTTGAAGTTGATCTGATTAATTCCCTAGGAGGAGTTCGTTAAAGTGCAGCGCCTGGAAATGACAAAAACGACACTAGAAATTCATAGAAAATTCAAAATGGCTGACTTCCGGTTGGGTTTAGAGCATGGCCCCAAGAGACTTTTATTTAAGTCCATATGTGATACATGTTCCTACCAAATTTCATACATCTAAGCCAAACATACTGCGAGGGCTGCTTCGTCGAAATTTTGTAGGGGGCGCTATTGAGCCGATTTGCCACTCTGAACCAATAAAATCATATTATATAACTACATTTTGGCCCTTAAATCTGTGTGCCAAGTTTGCTTATGTTTCAAGCATTTTTAGCCTCTGAAAATTACCTTCGTTTTTCACGGCGAAGACTGCGTCGCCACGGCAACAGCGTTCGACGAAACATCAAAAGCTTCATGAACTGGCATTATGAACTTCTTACATTTGTGTGGAAGTAATTTGATGTTGATTTGATTTACCTACTAAGAGAAACAAGCCAAAGTATAAAGATTTTAACTTCCTGTTACCAGTAGGTGGCGCTATGACTATGATTTAAAATTGGCCTGCAGATGTCTTCAGGCCTGGAGTCTAATCAAACATGTGAAATCTGGTAAAGATCTGATGATGTGGAGTTGAGTTACATCAGTTTATTCGTTCATGGCGAAGGATCGAAATTCGCCGAGCCGCCACGTCGCCGCCCTTCAACAACTTCTTACAATCTTCACAATGAAGCATTATCAAGGTCTTAAGGCTGTTCCGACAACGTTTTCGAAGGATCTGATTAATCTGTGAGGAGCAGGATGTCAAAGTACACAACTTACAACTTCCAGTTGCCACTAGGTGGCGCTATTACTATGATTCTAAATTATCATATAGATGTGTTCCGGGTCAGGATGTTATGACATATGAGAGATTTGGAGCAGATTCGACAATGTACGGCCGAGTTACAACAACTTCCTGTTTCGCGGCGAATGGTGTTTTTTTGACGCCACGCCACGGACACATAGTTCGATAACTTTTTGATCTTTGAGTAACTTTTCACTGCCAAGGTCTCAAGAGCATACTGACCGAATCTGAAGTCAATCAGGTCAAATCTCTGGGAGGAGTTCGTTAAAGTATGACGCCTTGAAATGGTCAAATGTCATAAAAGTCAAAATGGCTGACTTCCTGTTTGGTTTAATGAAAAACTCCAAGAGGATTTTTTGTGCGTCTCATCACGATCCACATACCTACCAAATTTCATACAGCTAGGTGAAACCCAATGTTGGGGCTACTCAATAGGGGGCGCTATCGAGCCAATATTTCATACCGCAGTTGGACACCCCAATCAGACTGCAATTTTCGCAAATTCTGGCTTGCGTGCCAAATTTCGCAAAATTCCCAGTATCCCAAGCACCTCCTTTTTTGCGACGAAACACCAAAAATAAGAATAAGAAAAAACATTCGAAAAACAATAGGTCCTCCGCTCCGACTACGTTGGTGCTTGGGCCCTAAAAACAGCATAAAGTGTGAAAATATGGTGGTTGACCACTACAAGCATCCAGAGTAGCTTCAATGTCATTATAGATTCTCCAAGTAGACCACTGGAGGGATGAACAGCATTCCTCC